AAATGGTCAAACAGAGAATAACAATTAGAAGCAAGAGCTGCTGAAAGTACTCTGTGTAATTTTTCCCCGGGGGCATTCAAGGGAAGAGAAGGAGACATTGCAAAATGGGATTATAGGATGGTTGATTTCTAAAGGCAGAGACAATGCAGTTGTACTCTAATGGAAGTTAAAAAAAAAAGTCATTATTGTCTTTATAGGTGGTCCTCGACTTACAACACAACTGACCCCCAAATTTCTGTTGTTGTGAGACAGTTGAGTTTTGCCCCATTTTATGACCTTTTTTGTCACAATTATTAAGTGAATCACTGCTGTTGTTAAGCGGGTAACACGGTTCTTAAGTGAATCTGGCTTCCCCATTGACTTTGCTTGTCAGAAGGTCACAAAAGGGGATCACATGACACCGGGACACGGCAATCGTCATGAACGTGAGTCAGTTGCTGAGCATCCAAATTTTGATCATGTGACCATGGGGATGTTGCAATGAGGGTAACTGAAAAACCACTATAAGTCATTTTTTTTACATTGCTGCTGTAACTTCAAACAGTCACTAAACCAGGGGTAGGCAACCTTGGCTCTTTTATGACTCGTGGACTTCAACTCCCAGAATTCCTGAGGCAGCATGGCTCAGCGTGGAAACCTCTCCCTTTCTCCTCAGCATGGCTGGCTCAGGAATTCTGGGAGTTGAAGTCCACGAGTCATAAAAGAGCCAAGGTTGCCTACCCCTGCACTAAACGAATGGTTGTAAGTCGAGGACTGACTGGACTCATCAGCTCATGAAATGTGCTATTTGCAAGAATTAAGAATCCGAGAATATACAGAACAGCATCCAAAATACAGGTAGTCCTTGACCTATGACCACATTTGAGACCAGAATTTCTGTGGTTAAGCAATGCAGTTGTTAAGGGAGTCGCACCCTATTTTATGACATTTTTTTGTCAAGGTTGTTAAGCGAATCACTTGCAGTTGTTAACAAGATGATTGTTAAGCAAATTTGGCTTCCCCCATTGACTTTCCTTATCGGAAGCCAGCTGGAAGTTGCGAATAGCATTCACATGATCCCAGGACACTGCAAACTTCATAAATACATGCCAATTATCAAAGGGCCCAAATTTTGATCACATAACTGTGGGGATGCTGCAACATGTGAAAGGACCGGTTGTAAGTCACTTTTTCCAGTGCTGCTATAGCTTCAAACTGTCGCTAAATGAATGGTTGTAAGTCAAGGATTACCCTGGTTGTAAGTCAAGGATAACTCTACTCACAAGTATTCACCATATGTGAAAATAAATGCTATTGTTAAAAAAACCCAGCTACAATTATATCATCATGGTCTTTGAAAAAATCTAGAAGTGCCAAGACTTTCAACAATCTAGTCCAGGGGAAAAAAGAAAACTGCAAATCAACGATTAGCCATACAGCAGTTTCCAATACGGAATTAAAATCTGGATTCTCTAAATCAGTGTTTCTCAATCTTAGCAACTAAGACGTGTGGACTTCAACTCCCAGAATTCCCCAGCCAGCCAGTGCTGGCTGGGGAATTCTGGGAGTTGCAGTCCACCTGTCTTCAAGTGGCCAAGGTTGAGAAACCCTGTCTAGCTGATGCATATGAGATGAGCTGCCCTTCACAGGATTGATGCTTTATTGGGAAACTGACTTGAATGAGTTACTGGAGAGACTGCTGGTGAGGTTAAGAAGGTAAATCAGAATTGTTGAAATAGAACTCTTTTAAAAGTAGAACTTTAGGAAGTTAGATCAGGGTTTCTCAACCTCAGCATCTTTACAGTACGGATGTGTGGATTTCAACTCGCAGAATTCTCCAGCCAGCAGGAGGCTGGCTGAGATTGAAAAGCACTGAGTTAGTTTATTATGCTTATATTTTCCATGGCTTCAAAAAAAAATATCCAACATAATGTAATGGTTAGGAGTCTGGCTTAGGTTCACAAAAACAAGTATTCTTATTTCCATTTAATGACAGAAGTCATTGGATGAGCTTTGATCAATGCTAGTTGGGGTTAACGGGAATTTCATTCTAACACAGCTTCAGGATATTGAACTAGACACCCACAAAGCTTCCTAGCCAAGTTCTGTGGCTGAATTTGGTCTTTCCAATCCCAGATTCACACTCTGATCAGTGCCTCCTGCTTTCTCCTAAGAAAAACAGTGGGAGTATTTTCTCTGTCCACAATTTAGCTTAGTGTGTACCTAATATGTCTTTTCCCTTTTGCAGATTAAAATGTCATAACAAATGCACCAAAGAAGCCCCACCTTGTAGAATATCTTTCTTACCCAGTAAGTGCTTTTTTATTCTTTGTAAACTTTTCTTCCTCTTACCGGATTACGTGCTGCTTATGTTCAGTTTTTAATGTTCAGTTATATCCAGTTTTGCTCACCATATTATAAAAAAAATGTAGAGACTCTGGAAAGAGTGCAGAAAAGAGCAACAAAGATGATTAGGGGCCTGGAGGCTGAAACATATGAAGAATGATTGCAAGAATTGAGTTTGTCTAGTCTAGTGAAATGGAAGGGACTAGGGGTGACATGATGGCAGTGTTCCAATATTTGAGGGGCTGCTACAAAGAAGAGGGGGGTCAATCTATTTTCTAAAGCACCAGAAGGCGGGACAAGAAGCAATGGATGGAAACAAGAGAGAAGCAACCTGGAATTAAGGAGAAACTTCCTAATAGTGAGAACAATTAACCCGTGTGATAGTTTGCCTTCAGAGGTTGTAGGTGCTCCATCCCTGGAGGTGACACTGAAGAGACTGGATAGCCATAGTTCTAGAATGGTATATGATCTCCTGCTTGAGCAGAGGGTTGGATTAGAATAGATTAGAATAGAATAGAATAGAATAGAATAGAATAGAATAGAATAGAGTAGAATATCATAGAATAGAAAATAGAATAGAAAATAGAATAGAGCTGGAAGGGACCTTAGAGGTCTTCTAGTCCAGCCCCCTGCTCAAGCAAGAGAATCTATACCATCTCAGACAAGTGACTGTCTAGCCTCTTTTTAAAAATCTCCAGAGATGGAGTTCCCACGATTTCTGGAGGCAAGCTGTTCCACTGGTTGATTGTCCTCACTGTCAGGAAGTTTCTCCTTAATTCCAGGTTGCTTCTCTCTTTGATCAGTTTCCAACCATTGTTTCTTGTCCTTCCCTCTGGTGTTTTGGTGAATAACGTGACCCCCTCTTCTTGGTGGCAGCCACTCAAATACTGGAATACTGCTATCATGCCTTCCCTATTTCTTCTTTTCTTTAGACTAGCCAAACCCAAGTCCTGCAGCCATTCTTTGTATGTTTTAATCTCCAGGCCTTTGTCATCTTAGTTGCTCTTCTCTGAATTTTTTCCAAACTCTCAACATCTTTTTTTTTTTGATATGATGACCAAAATTGGATGCAGCATTCCAGGTGTGGTCTGACTAGGGTTTTAAAGCAGTACTAATACCTCGCGTGATCTTGAACTAGAAGACCTAGAAGATCCCTTCCAAACTCTGTTATTCTGAATTCAGTGTTGCTGTTATAGTTTTAAGAAGGCTAAGTAAAATGCTGACTTTCTCTTCTCTCTGCTTCAATAGTACCACGGTTAAGGAGAACAGAGAGTGTCCCTTCCGATATCAATAATCCGGTGGACCGGCCTTCAGAACCACAGTTTGGGACCCTCCCCAAAGCCCAAGCTAAAAAGGTACAGTATTGAGTTTTACAAAGAACATGCACAGAGCCATGTGGGGTGAGGACAAAGTTATAACCCACCGCACAGTGTTTAGCAAACACATTTTAGTGAAACCTGTGCTACTGAAAGCTAGTAGAGGTAGTCCTTGTGTTATGACCACAATTGGAACCAGAACTCCTGTTGCTAAGCAAGATAGTTAAGTGAGTCAATTTTACAACATTTTTGCCCAGGTTGATAGGAAATCACTGCCATTGTTAAGTGAATCAAGCAGTCGTTAAGCGAATCCAGCTTCCCTCCTTGAGTTTGCTTGTCAAAAGCTGGCTAGGAAGATTGCAGATGGCAGTCACATGATTCCAAGATGCCGTAACCATTGTAAATACATACCAGTTGCCAAGCACCCAAACATGTAAACATGTGACTGCAGCTGTGCCATTTGTAAGTGTGCGGATCAGGTGGAAAGTCCCTTTCGTTAGTGCTGTTGTAATTTCAGATGGTCAGTAAACGAATGGTTGTAAGTTGAGGATTACCTGTATCTAGATGCCAGATTTTAGCAGCATTGTAATCTATACTGGCGGTCCACCAGGTTTTTGGCACCAGGTTTTGTGGTAGACAATTTTTCCACAGACCGGGATGGGGGGGGGGAGGAGGAATGCACAATCCAGATTCCTCTTGTGCAGTTTACTGTGTGGCCCAGTTCCTAACAGGCCATGGACCGGTACTGGTCCGTGGCCTGGGGGTTGGGGACCCCTGATCTATAGAGTCAGACATCTTAGGATTAAAAAGGGTTTAAGTATCTTGTGAGTTGCCCATCCTGGCTTAAAAGGGTTGGCCAGACATAGCCAGTTACGCCTTGATCTCGGAGTTTTAAAACAAAGCTTTCTGTCTAAGGAAGGGAAGCCAAGAATGGAACTTTGTCTCATCTCCTCAAAAGTTGCTGCTATCCAAGAATTCTGTGTTGCTTTGATCTCTGACAGGATCATCCGACAGCAATCAATCACCTCGACTCCAGTAGCAACCCGTCTTCTACCACCTCTTCCACACCATCCTCCCCAGCCCCCTTCCCGTCTTCCAACCCCCCCAGCGCAACCCCTCCCCCAAACCCATCTCCCATGGGCCAGCGGGACAGCCGGTTCAACTTCCCAGGTAAGTTGTTTTCAGAAGAGCAAAAAGCCCAAAGATTGCCTTTTGTGTAGTCTGCCCAGCCCAAGAAGAGATAAAAATAAAAACTCAGTAAAGATGCAACCTGTTTATCTTAATATACTTTTTTTTTTTGCTTCAGCACCTTGTTTACATTTATTTTATCAGTCACCCACTAACAAGAGTTCTCTGGGTGATGTTCAGATGTAAACAATAAAGCTGCCCAACCCACATTTATTCTTTATTAAAGTTATATGCTGCCTATCTTGCAATTTTGATGATGGAAATGATCCACCTTTAGTTTGTTCCAAGAGTGCCCAAAACAAAAAAAAACCTTAAAAGTGTTATGATACTTAATGTATGCAATTAAAAATCCTGCCACAAACCCTTTTTTGCCTGCTGGCATTTTTGTGGTGTGTCTCCAGCAGACCACGCAAACGTCAAGTCTGCTCAGAGAAGTTGGGCATTTGCAAAATATTCTTAGGCTGAAACTTTTGTGGAATAGAACAGTGTTCATATATTCTTGGCAGGTATCTGTTCATAAGACCTTCTGCTGTAATACATTTCTTTGCCCCTGCGTTCTCTGGGAATTTGTGTCCTTGCTAAAACACACATTTCTGGAAAAACCAAACATTACAAACTATGACCACAACTCAGCCCAAAATTTCCATTGCTAACAGTTAAATGAGTTTTGCTCCATTTTATGACCTTTCTTGCCACAGTTGTTAAATGAATCACTGCAGTTGTTAAAGTTAGTCACCCGTTTGTTAAGTGAATCTGGCTTCCCCATTGACTTTGCTTGTCAGAAAGTCGCAAAATGTAAATCACATGATCCCGGGACATCGCAACCGTCATAAATATGAGTGAGTTGCCAAGAATCTGAATTTTGACCACGTGGCCCCGGGGATACTGCAATGGTCGTAAGTGTGAAAAATGATCATGTCACTTTTTTCAATGCTGTTGTAACTTTGAATAGTCACTAAATGAACTGTTGTAGAGTCGTGGTGGCGCAGTGGTTAGAATGCAATACTGCAGGCTACTTCTGCTGACTGTCAGCTGCCAGCAGTTCGATTCTCACTGGCTCAAGGTTGACTCAGCCTTCCCTCCTTCTGAGGTCGGTAAAATGAGGACTCAGATTGTTGGGGACAATAGCCTGACTCTGTAGACTGCTTAGAGAGGGCTGTAAAGCACTGTGAAGCGGTATATAAGTCTAAGTGCTATTCCTATTGTAATTTGAAGACTACCTATATCAAGTACTGTGTAGGTAATCCTTGATTTATAGCCATTAGTTTACTGGCCATTGGAAGTTACGACAGTACTGAAAAAAGTGACTTATGATCCTTGCACTTAGGACTGATCCAGTGTTCCTGAAGTCATATGATCAAATTTAGCCTCTTGGTAACTGGGATGGATTTATGACGGTTGCAGAATCCCGAGTTCCTGTGATCGCCGTTTGCTACCTTCCCAGCTTCTGACAAGCAAAGTCAAAGTGGGAAGCCGGATTTGCTTAATAACTACATGCTTCCCTTAATGACCATGGTGATTCGTTTAACAACCATGGGAAAAAGGTTGTAGAATTGGGTGTGACTCACTTAAAAACCACTTTACTTAGCAACAGAACTTTCGATCTCAGTTATAACTCTAAGTCTGTGTGCATCTTTTATCTTTAGGAAAAAAAACTCATGGCTCTACCTGTATTACACTTAAAATCCATCTCACCATAAGTATGTTGATTAAAAGCACACATTCAAGATAATGATTGTTGACATGTCCCTTCGGTTCAGAAGCTTAAAAAATGTCTGGTGTTATTGCTGAATAGACTGGCAGTAGAGTTAGTCCTTGACTTACGACCACAATTGAGCCCAATATTTCTGTTGTTAAGCAAGACAGTTGTCAAAGTCGCACCACAGTTGTTAAGTGAATCACTCTATTTGTTAAGTGAATCGTGCGGTTGTTAAGCAAATCTGGCTTTCCCCATTGACTTTCCTTGTCGAAGGTCACAAAAGGAGATCACATAACCCCAGGACAGCACAACTATCATAAGTACATGCCAGTTGCCAAGCACCCAAATTTTGATCATGTAACTCTGGGTCGTAAATCCCTTTTTTTCAGTGCTGTTGTAAGTCCAAATGGTCACTAAATGAATGGTTGTAAGTCAAGGACTCCCTGTAGGTAGCAGAAAAGGTGGGGAAAGGAACTCGCGTTGTTGTTTTTTGTGACTTGAGGCAATACAACTCAGGTCTTTTTCTCCACTAGAGATAGCATTATTTTTCTGCCTCTTCTAAACCTAAAGAGAAATAAAAGCATTTTCCAACTGGCTGCATGCTTCTCTAACTGCCTCCACTCAAAAGCACTCTCCCCCTGGTTGCTTGTTCGTAGTTTACTAACTCTGAACTGGTATTAATTTACTACACACACACACTAATCACCTCATGTGCTAACTACTGTGACCTTTTATTTTGTTTTTTTTCTTTTTCTTCTCCTTTTCTGCCTAAACCAAAATAAACAGCCGCTCACTACATTCAGCATAGACAGCAGTTTATCTTTCCAGGTAAGTTCACTTTCTAACAGGTAGCTGCTCAAACATCACTTTGTTCTCCTGCAAAGGTCTTTTTATGTAAGCACAGAGAGAGAGAGAGAGAGACGGATTTCTCTTCTGCATGTTGCACACAAACCATACCCCTCCTCACTGAAAACACACAATTCGCTTCTCTTGAGACATCATTTCTTCCAATTCCTGTTACTCTATGTCGAAAGTTTTATAGCTGTGTGGTTATTGCAACATAATAAAGTATGATCTTTGACCTTCCTCTGCACAAATCAATTCAATAAATTTCCCTCGGTTATCGGACGTGCTGGGTTATCCTTTGAGAGATATTTCCTTACCACGTCCTTCCAGCAGTGACAGAGCTTCCAATGTGCTGACTTTGCTGGAAAAGTTGGGATACATTCAGAGATGTAGCTGCCTTGGAAATAGCCCATGTTGGACTGTATAGCACAGGGGTAGGCAACCTTGGCTCTTTTATGACTCGTGGACTTCAACTCCCAGAATTCCTGAGCCAGCCATGCTGAGGAGAAAGGGAGAGGCTTCCATTCTGAGCCATGCTGGCTCAGGAATTCTGGGAGTTGAAGTCCACGAGTCATAAAAGAGCCAAGGTTGCCTATCCCTGGTATAGCACAAACATCAGCACAAGAAATGTTTTATGGCATTTTATGGTCATTTCAATGCCATGAAGTGTTTTATAAAATTTGCCAAATTTCAACTCCAGGGGAGTCTGAGGTCCCACATTTTGGGCCCATTCTGTAAGTGAACCTGTTTGGGGTACCTTGCTTCAAAAATTGTTGCGGTATTTCTCCCAATTAAAGATTAGAGAGATGAGAGTTTTAATGGCACATAGATAATATACATAAAAGTAGTGCTATGCTAATATCTGTGGTATCCATAGGATAGTGTCAGAAAGAGAAGATGGCAGATGTGGTGTCAGAATGCAAGCCCCACACCTTTTGAACAGATTTGCAACACCATTACACCGCCATATTGCCTTTTGTGACCCTTCCCCTCTCTTCCTGTGGATGCCACTCATAAAGACTGACAGTTTTTCAGATTGAAAGTCATAGTTTTGATGCAGTAGAGGAAATCCCATTTTGGAAGGTTCCTGCATGTGAAAACAAACCAATAAATCCATCATTGAGGGGGTCCTTGGTGCTCTCTGAGCTTGGTTGTTTTCTTGCAGACATTTCATTACCCAACTGGGTAACACCATCAGTGCTAGAAAGGAATGGGATTTGCTCTCAGTTTATATTCTAGTGCAGGGGTCTTCAAACTTGGCCCTTTTATGACTTGTGGACTTCAACTCCCAGAATTCCTCAGCCAGGCACGCTGGCTTTAGAATTCTGGGAGTTGAAGTCCACAAGTCATAAAAGGGCCAAGTTTGAAGACCCCTGTTCTAATGGCTTGCCCTATCATTGTTGATAGGAATGGTCTTGGCGGTTCTTTGGTTGGGGTATTGTTTACTTCTTGATTGTTGGTCTGAAAACAACAAGGCTCACACAAGGACCCCCTCATCTCAACCCTGAGTTACAAATACTTCCCTTTATTAAATATTTCATTGCTTCTAGATAGGAGTTCATAGAGCTTGTGTGATTCCTCCAACTAAAACTAGTCCATCCTCAAGCAGGCTTTCTCCTATGGCTTTGTGGGTTGTACATTTTGACTTTTTAGTTCTCTACAGCTAAATATTTCTTTGATGTATATTATTGAATTACTAAAAACAGTGAGAACTTGAGAGTTGTGAACATCAGTCCTTTTTTCCCCCATATATTCTTCTTTTTTTTTTAGAAATTCCTGGTACTCCACAAATAACGCAGCCTCCTGAAACTACGGAAAGTACGAAGTAAGCCTCTTTTTGTTTACGTGTAGTATTTGATTTACAACCATTCGTTTAGAAAAAAGTGATTTATGAGTGTAATTGCCAGGCTCAATTACAGTAATAGGTCGAGGACTGTATATGTTCTAATTAATATGGAGGCTCTGACGAATTCCAGTACAAGGACAAAATCAGTTGTAGGGTGCCTCCTAGTGGTCAGCAGCAAATATAACAACATTCTTTTTTCAACTTCTAAATATTTGATCCGGGTATCTGATTTGCCAGATGCTACAGCCAGCTGTACTGGGACAACCTTAGTCAAAATCCTTTTAATGAGATATCTTTAACCCTGTACTTAACTTATCTTGATCAGATAGGAAAGGTACCCTGTGGAAAGAGGATTTCATGGCTTATAGTGGAGGAACCCCATTTAATCAAAAGTCATGTCTTTACTATAGCCTAATTCATGCTGGCTGAGGAATTCTGGGAGTTGAAGTCCACAAGTCATAAAAGGGCCAAATTTGAAGACCCCTAGCCTAATTAGAAAAAAAAACCTTTCTGCATGCAATACGTTCTGGCCAGAATGATTGGTTCCTCCTAGTAACACTTGCTGAGAGGGCAGGAAAGAAAAGGGAGAGAAAAGTGGCCTTCAAGAGAAAAAAACCTAGGCCTATTGTAGCAAGGTTGTGTTATACATCCTGCATAAATAAAGCTCTCAAAAGTGTACACATACATAACACACATATAAACGTGCTATATACATAGATATGTATATACCTACACATTCTGAGGGTCTTACCATGCAGCGTCAACATGAACTACACCAGGGGTCTTCAAACCTGGCAATTTTAAGACTTGTGGACTTCAACTCCCAGAATTCCTCAGCCAGCCATACTGACTGAGGAATTCTGGAGGTTGAAGACCACAAGTCTTAAAAGTTGCCAAGTTTGGAGACCGCTGAGCTACACCAAAGGAATTGTGTTCTTGTTTTCACAGTGTTTGTTGTATTAAACAAATGCCTACATGGTTCTGATAATAGATCACATGTTCTCACGCTTCAGTGACTGTGGTTGTTGCTTCCATGAGCGTTTTCAAGAACATTACAAGTGGTCCTCAACTTACAACCATTTATTTAGCAACCATTCAAAGTTACAACGGCACCAACAAAGTAACGTATTCCCAGGTCCTCACGCTTATGACTGTCACAGCTTCCCCATGGTCATGTGATCAAAATTCAGGTGCTAGGCGAGGTTGAGGAATATGACTTGGTTAGATCATGCTGTGACTTTCACAGTTAAGTGCAGTTTTGAACCCTGATATGGTCCAGCACTGGAACCACTCTACTGAACTGTCTTCTCAGTTCTGAGTTTCCTTCTCCTATAACTCATCTGCTGCAGCATTATCTTGATACAATATTTAAAATGAATTCTTTTGCAACAGGGAGTTAACAGCATGCACATCCAAAGAATAATGATGATCTTGCATGATCAGTTCATCCATTCTGTCTTCTTCTTCTTCTTCTCTCCAGCAATGCTGAGGTGCCCTTAGAGACGGATGGAGTTGAAGAACGGGACACAGAGGTAAATTCCCACTTGCTAGCAGTGCTCCCTACTAGCACTGATGATGTTACCTAGTTTGGGTAATGAAACGTCTGCAAGAAAACAACCAAGCTCAGTGAGCACCAAGGACCCCTCATTCCAGCCTGAGCTACAATTAATCTACTTTGTGGATTATAGCTCGTTTGGTGAATATGTAGGTAACCATGAAAGCTGAATGCAAGAGGCATAGGGAATGACCTAGGTCAGAGGTAGGCAACCTTGGCTCTTTTATGACTCGTGGACTTCAACTCCCAGAATTCCTGAGTCATAAAAGAGCCAAGGTTGCCTACCCCTGACCTAGGGAAGGGCAGTGTTTTTCAATCTGAGGAATTCTGGGAGTTGAAGTCCACATATTTTAAAAGATTGAGGAACCCTGGGATAAAGAATAGCCCAAATAGATACGGTTGCACAATTGGTTCCATTTGGGGAAAATGTGGTGGGATTCCAAGCCTGGCGTGTTCATCATCACTGCAATTATTCCCCCTTTCTTCCCAAGCATGTGGATGACCAAGAACAAAACAAGTTGGAAGCTGAGGACGATGAAGACGAGATTGACGACCTGCCAACCCGGCGATCACGATGGCGGGGGATGATCTCACGCAAGGCTAGCCAAACCAGCGTCTACTTGCAGGAATGGGACATTCCCTTTGAGCAGATTGAACTGGGTGACCCTATTGGCCAAGGACGGTGGGGCAAGGTGTACCGGGGGAGATGGCATGGCGAGGTAGCCATCCGTTTGCTGGAGATAGACGGGAACAACCAGGATCACCTGAAGCTCTTCAAGAAAGAAGTGATGAACTACCGGCAAACCAGGCATGAGAACGTGGTGCTTTTTATGGGGGCTTGCATGAACCCCCCTCATCTAGCAATCATTACCAGGTAAGGATCGTCATCTTGGTTGATCTCAGGCCATTTTTCAATTTGTATGGCCGCCATCTTGTTGTCATGCCAGAAACAATTAGAAAATGTAACCCTACAAGAGCATCAAAAGGATAGGATTTTAATTGTAATATATTTTTTGAGTTATGAGCCATCTGAGTCATTGACTCGTGGGTGGCTATAGAGAATGAATGAATGAATGAATGAATGAATGAATGAATGAATGAATGAACGAACATTCATCTCCTCCCCAGCCAATGTCTGACAAGCAGACTCGATGGGGGAAGCCAGATTTTCTTAATGACTGCGTGGTTCACTTAACAACTACAGTGATTTGCAGTGGCACCATGGCAAAAAAAGATACTAAAATCAGATGTAACTCACTTAACAACTACTTTATTTAGCAATGGAAATTTTGGTCCCAATTGTCATGATAAGTCAAGGACTACCTATATATGCTTCAGTGAAATGTATGAATTCAGCTTAACTGTGGTTAGTGTTCATCAGACACAGCAGCTTGGATGTTGTATATTGGGTTTAAGTTAAAGATGGGTTAGTGGCAATGCCAGTCACAGTACAAACATTTTGTATAGTGACCTTCAAAAAACAAGGAGGGAGAAGGAATGTTGCTCATGAGCCATTTTTTAGCCAAGATTTGATAAAAATGTTACTGCTGTTCTATATCCAGCTATGCTGACTTTTTGGGAGCTTGTGTTAACTTATGTGATCTATGAATCTTCCTTGAGACACGAAAGCCTGAAGTGCTGAATATGCTCATGAAAAGAACCTGTAAAATCTTTTGCAAACTCAGAAAAGCTAGTTTTCCCTGATTTTTTTTTAAAAAGGGGAAATAATTGGGTTGCAGTTAAAAAAAGAGATATCAAGAAAGCAGTATACAAAATCAAATCAAATTAAAATAAAAATGGTAACGTATACTTGCCCAACAACTTAGTTTTAAAATTGTAATACTAAAATGAAAACAATCAAAAATTGTACAGACTAAACTGATATAAATCACCTAAATGTGTTGTATATTTAATCATTTAATGACAATAAATGCTGAAAGGAATTCTATTGTGTTATTACTTTGGGTTAACGATAATGGAATTTCTGGTTTTTAAAAAAATAATTGTTGCAGTGTGCCAGTGTTTAAGTACTTATCACAAGCCAACTGGAGATTTTCTTTTAGGTCTGTATACTTTTAAGGTATAATTTTGCTTCCATAGTGAGAGGTTGCAATAGCAATTTGCTTTGGAATCTTCTAAAATGTAGACTTGTGAGAATATCATCCATGATGTATTCTTCTGGCATAGTTAAACTGGTTTTCAAGCTGTGTGTCAATGCTGCTAACATCGGATGTTCTTGCTTTGACAATATATAAAGATGCAGCCATTTTCTCTTTAACCTGTGTGTTGACTTTTAGAGTTAGAATTAGATGATGCTGGGGGGGAGGGGAAATAATGTGTATGGGGATTAGTTAGACATAACAACATCGCAGTAGAGTATTCTTCAAGATTGTTTGAAATAAGACGATGGCGATTATAGAACTGGAGGGAAGGTTTGCATTTCAAACTAATTGGAGAATATGATTGATGACTGTTAATTGGAGAAGGGAATTGTGCTTGATACTATGTGTTTAGGGGAGGGGAATTCAGATTTTGGCTTTGACTATGTACGTGCCGAAGCTATGCAGCTCGATTAAAGATTCTTTAAGGTAAACAGTGCCTCAGAGTTCTTTGAAGAGTTTCATCTTTTGGAACCATGACACTGTGTTTTCATGGTGAACATGGCTAGTTAGCTTTGATGTGTCAGGGTGAAGGTATATATTGGAATTGTATGGAATAGGCTGTGTGGAGATCCAAATTAGAAGGGGAAAAAGTCACTCAGCACTTGTGTGGGCGCAAAAATATCATTGTTCAGCATCTCCTTAACTCAAGAATCTTCTTCTGGATTGTATTCCAGCTGCAGACGGCAGCTGGACGTCCCCAGGAAAAGACATAGCTTCTTTAAGAGGTTGCTTATCCCTGTCCTCCAACTCATTTTTCCTCCCATCCTCTGACATGTAAAGGTAGCTCTCAACTTATGACCAGTCCTCTAATGGCAATTTCAGGCTATGACGGCCTCAGAAAAACTGACTTATGATCCAACCTCAAACATATGACCGTTGCATCCCCTTCCTGGTTCCCTGATCACGATTTGGGCACTTGGCAACTGGCTGGCATTTACAATAGTTGCAGCATCTTGCAATCACCTGGTTGTGATTTGCCACCTTCCCAGCAGGCTTCCGACAAGCAAAGTCAAGTGGGGAAGCTGCATTCCCTTTATGACCATGTGATTCACCTAACCAGCATGTGATTTTTTTTAAACAACCATGGTCAAAGAGATCCCGGTAAAAACGATCATCTGAGGAAGATGAGCAGTTCAAAAATGCGATAGGCAGGCAGGCAGGCAGGCAGGCAGGCAGGCAGGCAGGCAGGCAGGCAGATCAGGGGTAGGCAACCTCAGCTCTTTTATGACTCATGGACTTCAACTCCCAGAATTCCTGAGTCAGCATAGCTGACTCAGGAATTCTGGGAGTTGAAGTCCATGAGTCATAAAAGAGCCGAGGTTGCTTACTCCTGAGATAGATAGATAGATAGATAGATAGACAGACAGACAGACAGACAGACAGACAGACAGACAGACAGACAGACAGACAGACAGACAGACAGACAGACAGACAGACAGACAGATTAGATTAGATTAGATTAATAAGATAAAGAGAGAGAGAGACAGACAGACAGACAGACAGACAGACCATAAAATCAGTCATATGTGATCATTCACTTAATAACCACATCACTTGGCAACCAAAATTCCAGTCCTAATTGCGGTCATAAATCGAGAACTACCTGTACTGCTTCTACAGTAGATGCCAATTGTTGTTAAGCTTTCTTTCTAACGTGTTTGCCTGCCTCTGTTCCTTAGTTTCTGCAAAGGAAGGACGCTCCACTCGGTAGTCAGGGATCCCAAAACACCTCTGGACATCAACAAGACCAGGCAAATAGCTCAGGAGATTATTAAGGTAAGAAGGAGTCTGCAGAGGGATTTGTGTTGTGTTGAGTGTCTTCTGGATAAGGCAACTGCTCTTCCTAGGCTCCATTCCGGCGGAGGAGAGCAATTTCACTGTACTGGACTCCAGTTGTAAAAGAGTCTCCGAATTTTATTTAAATACATTAAAAGTTTTTTTTATTTTCCCCATTGCCTTCTTCTTTTACACAGTATTTATTCAAGGCAGTTTATCCCAACCATTTTAAGATGTGTAATGACTACAGTGCTGGCTGGAATATTCTGGGAGTTGAAGTCCACATATCTTAAATTGGTTAAGGTTGGAAAACACTAATTTAAGGCTACTTTCTCTCCCTTGAATCTCCTGAGCAGGATCATAACCCTGATCCAAGCCAGAAGACATATTCATTGGCCTTCAAACCTAGATATGTATTCATGATTCTTGGCTGTGGCGAGGTCTTAAAATAATGTGAATTACAGATCTGCTGCCGCTGGGGACCTTCAAAACAAACAACCATTGAATCGTTGTTTAGGTATTTCATCACCGTGCTAAGCTAAAGCCATTTAACCGTGTTTTGGTAATTGACAATAAATAATCAAATAAATATAATATAATAAAATAAATCTGAATTCACAGACAAAGCTATTAACTGTGGTTTACAGTGACTAACTTCACACAATTTGCTAAGTACCACAACTCACCTATGTAACGTGAATAAGTCAATTGAGTGGATTTTGAATAAGCATTGAAGCAAGATTGAAACAATTATATGTTTTTCCTGTTTAACACTGAAGCAGGATCGAAACAATTTTACATTTTCCCATTTTAACATTTTTTTTCCTCCCATGCATACACACGTGTGTGATTGTTTTGTTTTTTTCACCCTAGGGCATGGGGTACCTTCATGCAAAAGGGATCGTGCACAAAGATCTCAAATCCAAGAACATTTTCTATGAAAATGGAAAGGTGGTGATCACTGACTTTGGCCTGTTTGGAATTTCTGGCGTGGTTCAAGAAGGAAGGTGGGTCTCTCATGAATTGTTGGTTTCTCTTAGCTGTCAGGTTCAAAATCTGCATCTCTGATTTAGCTGTGGAATCCAGAATCCATCCAACAAAGCATAGGTAGCCTCTGATCAGTCACTAAGCAACTGTTTGAAGTTACAGTGGATCCCTAAAAAGGAACTTATGGCCTGGATTTAAGGTTCCAATGTTCATACACGTACACACTGCAGTCACATGAGTGTATTTTGGTCTCTGCCGCCAGCCCACATTTATAGCTGTTTGCAGTGCCCCGTGGACACATAACCACGATTTACTATGTTTTTGTCAGAAATTAGCATTTACTTCTAGTTTCCAGCAAAAACCCATCCCATAATCAACAATGGGGTTGCTTAACAACCATGGTGTTCACTTAATGACCACCACAAAAAAATAATAAAATTAGATGTAGTAATATGGTGATCTTATTACTGTCATGACTTACACCCAAAATGCAGGCTCAATCATGGTTGTAAGTAGAGGACTACCTGTATTTCTTCTGAATTCACAGCATCTGTATTTTTACTTTTATTTTTGCAAACTGCCCAGAGTTACTTGGAATTGGGCAGCCTCTAAATCATTGGTTGTCAATCCTAGCAACTTTGTCCACCAGTGTGTGGACTTCAACTCCCAGAATTCTCCAGCCAGCATATCTATATTAACATGGTTGGATATGTAACTATCGGCCTGTGGCTTCTTGGTTTCAGGTTTATTTAAAAAAATAAACTGACACTTATCTTCAATGCCTCAACCATTTATGATTAGGAAATTATTTCATCCTGTATGGACTTGACCTGGATTTTCATAGGGAAAGATTTGCAGATTCAGGTCTTGATATACATAGATGAGATGGGAAAAAAATGTGGATCTTCTCAATGATAGGGTCTCATAATAATGACATTTCTATCTAATCAGAATAGAGCTGGAAGGGACCTTGGAGGTCTTCCAGTGACTAGTCCAAGCAGGAGACCCTGTACCATTTCAGACAAGTGGCTGTCCCGTCTCTTCTTAAAAACCTCCAGTGGTGAAGTACCCACAACTTCTGAAGGCAAGCTGTTCCACTGGTTAATTGTCCTCACTGTCAGGAAGCTTCTCCTTAATTCCAGGTTGCTTCTCTCCTTGATTAGTTTCCATCCATTGTTTCTTGTCCTTCCCTCTGGTGCTTTGGAAAATAAGTTGACCCCCTCTTCTTTGTGGAAGCCTCCCAAATACTGGAATACTGCTATCATGTCATGTCATATCATGTGCTATCCTTCCATTATATATTCAAGATGGACAGTATTTAATATTTATTTGCTATGTATATGTAGGGGTGTGGGTCTATACATACGATGTACATAGTATGATTAGGTGTGTGTCATGTATGTGTTTCACTTTGAGAGTGGGCAACTACATTTCATTTTTGATGTGTGCCGTTGTGCCCACAGTAAAAAATGACAATAAAGGTTATCTTATCTTATCATATCATCTAATAGAAATTCCCCAGTGCTTTTTTGATTCTCTTGGATTTAAATCTCAGTTTTGCTGCTTTCAAATTTACAGCTTGGTCTTATGATATGACTGGGGTTTTTTTTAATCTGATGTACTTGGTTATTGTATTACTGGAAAGCCACTGCATTCCAACAGACATAAAATGCTGATAAACTTGTGTGACATGCAACGAGTCATATATTTTAAATTTTCTGTGAGATGCAGCTAACTTTATAGCTTGCTTTTGACTCCTCATCTGATTGCCACAGCCACGTAGGAATTCTAGGAAGCCAATGACCACATTTTTTCCCGGACTGTTGGTTTCCAGGCTTGCTGCCGAGAAAGAACAAGATATACTTGTCCTTTATCACTCATTTTGGTCGAAAACAGCCTTCTGTATTTTCAGGCTCATAGTTTGCACCAAATAAGGACTGTCTTAAGTGACACTGTTTCAATACAAAGGCTGTTAGCCCCTGTTTCGAAGCCTCTTGTTGAGTTCAGTGGGATCCACGCCCCTTCAGTTATAGATCCAAGTAAAGAAGTGTGAAGTTGCTATCAAAGTCCTTAAGTTTCAGTGGAATATGCTTAATTTTCTTTGCAGGGCTAAAATTCACTATTGGAATAAGTTTTTTAAGACTTGGAATTCAAGCAGAAAAACATATTTCAGGAATGGGAGTGGTAGGGGCTACATAGGACCACACAGGCACCTGAATTAGGCCCGATAAGAATTTTACTCCTGTCTTGGAGAGAGACACTTTAACCCAGTGATGGCGAACCTTTTAGAGACCGAGTGCCCCAAAACTGGCCCCGCCCCTGCTCCACCCCCTGCCCCGCCCTCACCCTGCCTGCCCGCAAGGCCACTCACCGCCTCCAGGGCCCGCCGCAGATCGCCCAGGCAGCCCAGCAGCGCCATGGTGGCCACGTCCTCTGCCCGCGCCCCGCAGCATCAACTGTGCGCGATGGGGCCTGAGGGCAGAGTCTTGTCTATGCTGCCTGGCTGCCATGTCTTTGGCTGCGCTGCTCCGCATGGGCCATGCTCGGACAACTCTCCTCCAGGGGGGCTGCTGGTGAGGAGGGGGTCGCGGGCAGAGGTAAGGCTGGGGCAACGGCACGTGTGCCCACAGAGAGGGCTCCGAGTGCCGCCTCTGGCACGCATGCCATAGGTTCGCCACCACTGCTTTAACCTTTGCAAAGGAGCTTCTATGTCAGTGTTTCTCAACCTTGACAATTTTAAGGCATGTGGACTTCAACTCCCAGAATTCCACAGCCAGCAACGCTGGCTGTGGAATTCTGGGAGTTGAAGTCCACATGCCTTAAAATTGTCAAGGTTGAGAAACACTGTTCTATGTCCATTTGAAAATACAAATTACCAAGTCATTCGTGCAAAGCAAAAAGCATTTATTAAGGGCGGGGGGGGGGGTTTCAAGTCTTTTTATAGAGTACAGAAACAAATGTAGACAGATTCTGTATATGTGATACTTCAGTAAGCAAACGATCAAACAGTAAAAGATACTAATTGCATGTGAAGTTAGAACAATAGAAAACACTGATTCCAGACAACATTCCACAAGTGACAAATTTATGGGTCGCATTACTCTTTCCCAGCTAGATTTGTATCTTTCTTGAAAGTATTCAAGGACTTTCCGAAAACACTATCTATTGTGTAGCTGCTAAGAAAGGCAAGTTCTCACATACCAAAGAAATGGCCTTGGCCAAGAAGGAAAAAACATGCTTTCTTAAATTTGAAAAAAAAGAGACCCAGACTGCTATGTTAAAAATGCTAATGTCAGCTTTTAAAATGCTGATTTTAAAGCCTAAAATTTGAGGCAACACTACCCAGGATCTTAAGAAGCAAAAGTCAGAATATTGCACAGTGTTTCTACCCTACAGATGACTTGGCCATCTGCTCTTTTCCTCAACGGATTTTTCTTTCTATGCCATCAATACATCATTTTCATTTTTGGGCTGATCAGTGATTGCAGAAAATTTAAAAAATCAATGACAAGGTTTGCATCAATGCTGCTATGGAGAAGCTTAAGAGACTTTTATCTATCCCCTCCCCATAAGATAAGATAAGATAAGATAAGCTTTATTGTCATTTGTTTTACTGTGGGCACAACGGTACACATCAAAAATGAAATTTAGTTGCCCGCTCTCAAAGTGAAACACATACAGGACACACACCTAAACATACTATGAACAACATATGTACAGACCCATATCCCTATATAAACGTAGCAAATAAATATTAAATACTGTCCATCTTGAATATAAAACAGAAGGAGGAAGCTTGAGAGTTCACAAGGTTAATGCTGTATGGGATGAAACTCTGGCTGAATCTGGATGTTCTGCTACGGATACCACGAAGCCCCCTCCTCCCAGAAGGTAACAAGGAAAACAGGTCGTGAAGAGGATGTGAAGTGTCCCAGATAATCTCACGGACCCTGCTCAAGCAGCGCTTCTGTGCTATGTCCTGGATGGGAGGGAGGGAACTGCCAATGATCTTTTCGGCCATCCTCACCACTCTCTGCACCGCCTTCCTGTCTGAAGCAGGGATGCCTCCAAACCAGACTGTGATGCTGTATGACAGGATGCTCTCGATCATCCCCCTGTAATGAAAATAAGGACTATGGGTGACCTGATAGCCCCAATATCTCAGGGGCTGCCCCAAAGAAGAGGGAGTCAAGCTATTTTCCAAAGCGCCTGAAGGCAGGACAAGAAGCAACGGGTGGAAACTAATCAAGGAGAGAAGCAACCTAGAACTAAGGAGAAACTTCCTGACAGTTAGAACAATTAACCAGTGGAACAACCTGCCTCCAGAAGTGGTGAATGCTCCAAAACTAGAAGTTTTTAAGAAGAGACTGGACAACCATTTGTCTTAAATGGTATCGGGTTTCCTGCTTGAGCAGGGGGCTGGACTAGAAGACCTCCAAAGTCCCTTCCAACTCTGTTATTCTGTTATTTTATTAAAAGGCAAGGGAGGTGGGCATTTCCATAAAGGTCCTCCATTTCTAGGAATCATCTCACTCCCCAATGAACTGGTCATATAATAACAAGGAGTTAATCATAGCTTGCCCCCATGTTTATTTGAATAGCGAAACCATGTCTCCTTAGTTAAGTAGGTCATTTGAATGGGAGCGAAAAGAGTGTTCAAAAGATCTCCTTCCATCCCATTGGTTTAAACAAAAAATTGAATCTAGGATTTTGCCACTCAAAGTGGGGGCTTGACCCCTGGGTTGTGGCAGTTGCATCAGTCTGCAGGCATCCCCTTTTTGACCTTACAGACAGGTAATTCCTGGTAGATGGAGCCTAGGGCTGGTAACACCCAACACTAAAAGGGGGAAGGAAGATCACTGAGCTATGGAGCATGATGGGTGGGAAGCATGATGCAGATCTGGACAGATGAGCAGGACCTGTTTTGCTCCTCATTAGGAAGAGTACATCAATAAACTAAGTTTCAGGTTTAATGATTGTAACTATGATTTATGACAGTGGTGGCGAACCTATGGCACACGTGCTAGAGGCATCACTCAGAGCCCTCTCTGTGGGCACGCGCACCATGCCCTGGAGATGGCAACCATCCCTCTTCAACCATCTGCCTGCTACTCGCCAAGATCCCACGTGGCCGGATGCATCCCAGCATGGCTGGTTCCCCCCCCCCCAGTCCCATCCCTCTTGGCCTCGCATGCTCTCCTTTTCCCGGGCATGACACACTGCATCGCCTCCTCAGCTGTTGGCCGTCCGTCCAGCTCAGAGGCGGCTTCTCTGAACTTCTGGCGGCGGGCTGCGGAGCCCCAGAGTATGCCGGTCGAGGGGCCAGCAGGCTGTGGCTGCTGACGGACACTGTCGGCCCCATACGCTCGCTGGCCTCTGTGTGTGGGGGCCGATGGTGTCAGGCAGCAGCCGCCCCGGCCCCTGCCTCGCCTTGCCCTGCGACAATGGCACCCCCACCCTACCTCGCCTCACCCCACAGGACGAGCCTCCTACCCACCGCCCCACCTGCCAGAGACCCCCTGGATCTCCCCCAACCCTGCCCGGCCACCACAGGCATTCCTCCCCACGAGCAACATCGAGGTGACCATGCCCACCTTGGCCACACCCACCCAGTCTGCCATGACCACAGCCACGCCCAGCCAGGGGGGCACACCCACCTGGCACCCGGAAATAAATAAGTGGGTTTTGGGTTGCAGTTTGGGCACTCGGTCTCTAAAAGGTTCGCCATCACTGATTTATGACTTATCACTTTTTTGCTTGTATGTACACTGAGATTTATGCACTGGAGACAAATTCCTTGTGTGTCCAATCACACTTGGCCAATAAAGAGTATTCTATTCTATTCTATTCTATTCTATTCTATTCTATTCTATTCTATTCTATTTCTATTTCTATTTCTATTTCTATTTCTATTTCTATTCACTTCACTAGGGAGAAATTCATGTGATTTAAGACATAAAGCAGTATTTCTCAACCTCAGCAACTTTAAGATGTGTGGCTGGTTGGGGGATTCTGGGAGTTCAAGTCCACCCATCTTAAAGCTGCTGAGGTTGAGAAGCACCATGGTAGAGAATCATTTATTGGTGCAGCAATTACATATTTGGGAACCAGTCTTTGCTGAATTATGCCAGCTCTTCCTATAGCCCATCCCCGTTTTAATCTCTTCCTTTCTGACATCAGGCGTGAAAATGAACTGAAGCTGCCCCATGATTGGCTGTGCTACCTGGCTCCAGAGATTGTGCGCGAGATGGCTCCCGGGAAAGATGAAGATAAGCTGCCCTTCTCCAAAGCTGCTGATGTCTATGCTTTTGGGTAAGAAAGAGAAAAGGTCACAGCAGGTGCTTCTTCTCAAGATCTGTAAAAAATATCCTGCCTTTCTGGAAAGAACACGGTGTGGCCATCTGGGGAAAGCTAAGCAGGTCTGGAAGGGGTTAGCGCCTGGATGGGGGACAATCTGAAAACCCCCATAGAGCCCAATTTTAACTTGGCTAGAGAATGTTGAGAAAGACAATGGCACCCCATATCATGCCCTGAAAAATCTTATTATGTTGTATACAATCATGAATTCTAACCACTGGACCACCAGGAATCCTGGTGGCGCAGTGGTTACAATGCTGTATTGCTGGCAAATTCTGCCCACAACCAAGAGCTTGATTTGGACAGGTTCAAGGTTGACTCAGCCTTCCATCCTTCCAAGATCGGTAAAATGAGGACCCAGATTGTTGGGGGCAATATACAAATAATGCTTACCTTGTGCTATAAAGCACTATGCGGTGGTAGATAAGTCTAAGCCAGGGGTAGGCAACCTTGGCTCGTTCATGACTCGTGGACTTCAACTCCCAGAATTCCTGAGCCAGCCATGCTGAGGAGAAAGGGAGAGGTTTCCATGCTGAGCCATGCTGGCTCAGGAATTCTGGGAGTTGAAGTCCACGAGTGATGAGGGGGCCATAGTTCCCCCATGCTGGCTCAGGAATTCTGGGAGTTGAAGTCCACGAGTGATGAGGGGGCCATAGTTCCCCCATGCTGGCTCAGGAATTCTGGGAGTTGAAGTCCACGAGTCATAAAAGAGCCAAGGCTGACTACCCCTGGTCTAAGTGCTATTGCTATTGTATAGCAAGAAGACTAGTTCCCCCCCCCAAATCACCTATGTATTGCAGGTAGTTCTTGACTTACAACAATTTTGTAAGTTCGAAGTTACAACAGCACTGAAAAAAGCGACTTATGACCATTTTTCACACTTAACAACCATTTCAGCATCCCCATGAGCAAAATTCAGATGTTTGGCAAAGGGTTCCTATTTATAATGGTTGCAGTGTCCTGGGGTCATGTGATCAGTTTTTGTGACCTTCTAACAAACAACGTCACTTCGGGAAGTCAGATTCACTTAACAACCATGTTACTAACTTAACAAATGCAATGATTCACTTAATAACTGTGCCAAGAAAAGTCATAAAACGGGGCAAATTCACTTAACAAATGCTTCACTTAGCAGCATAAATTTCTGGGCTCAATTATGGTCGTAACTCGGAGACTACCTATATAGCATGATGGGGCGATATATGAGTCTAAATGCTAGTGCTATCGCATAGCAGGAATTTATTTCCCCAAATAATTTATGTATTGCTAAACTTCTCATTGTCATGACTTTAATTGGGTCAGGAGTAGGCAACCTTGGCTCTTTTATGACTGGTGGACTTCAACTCCCAGAATTCCTGAGCCAGCATGGCTCAGCTTGGAAACCTCTCAATTTCTCCTCAGCATGGCTGGCTCAGGAATTCTGGGAGTTGAAGTCCATGAGTCATAAAAGAGCCAAGGTTGCCTACCCCTGAATTGGGTGAAATAGGGCAACGGTTTTTTGAAGCTTGTACCTCAAATGAGGTAAATAACAGAATGCGTTCAAAATAGAAGGACCTATGATTCCCGAGGGACTGAAATTTGGGGAAGCTGTGGCTGCCTCAGGGTGGCTGGGTTGCTGCAGCAGTCACGAGATCTTCCCTTTCACTCTAGCGGTTATACGCGATGCAATTAAGCGTTGAAAAGGGTTGGGAACGATGCTAACGGTGTTTTCAAAAATCAAGTGAAATATTTGCATCTGTGGGTGTGAGTGTTTAACCTGCATTCACTGATTTTTATATTTTACATCTTGTAGAAATTAATGACATTTCAAAAGTCATGACATTTGAAAATTGCTGTTCCGGGAAACTTCAACTCTTTTTTAAAAGAAAAATAGCTTTTTCTCTCCAAACACAGTCCCAATTGTGGTCTAACTTAAGAGGTTTTTTTTTTAATTTTTATAGTTTGTCACACAGTCAGCCAGATGTGCAGAATATAATCTACTGATTATTATTAACTTAAATTATTAAGTTAAGAGTTGTCTTGATGTTTTTTTATACAGGCAGTCCTCGACTTACAACAGCTTGTTTAATGACCATTGAAAGTTACAACGGCACCGAAAAAAGTGACTTATGACTGTTTTTCACAGTTTATTACCATTGCAACATCCCCATGGTCATGTGATCAAAATTCAGACCATTGGCAACTGACTCACATTTATGACGGTTGCACTGTTCCCCTTTTGCGAATGTCTAACAACTAAAGTCAATGGGGAAGCCAGATTCACTTAACAAGTGTGTTACTCACTTAACTAGTGCAGTGATTCACTTAGCCACTGTGGCAAAAAAGGTTGTAAAATGGGGCAAAACTCTCTTAACTGTCTCACTTAGCACTGAAAGTTTCGGCTCCATTGTTGTCACAAGTTGAGGACTACCTGTAGTACAGTTGTCAGCATTATTATGATCCTTGGCTAAATTAGAAATGGGGACTTACCACTCAAGACTTTGAGATGGGCCCCAGACTGGAAGGGGTGTATTTCAGAAGCCAAATGCTTGAGCATCAGGTTGCAGAATACAGGCAGTCCTCAACTTATGACCACAATTGAGCCCAGAATTTGTGTTGCTAAGTGAAACATTTGTTAAGTGAGTTTTGCCCTATTTTACGACTTTTCATGCCACGTCTGTTAAGTGAATCACTGCAGTTGGTAAAATAATAACATGGTTGTTAAGTGAAACTGGTTTCCCCATTGACTTTAGTTGTCAGAAGGTCGCAAAAGGGGATCACATGACTCCGGGACGCTGTAACCATCATAAATATGAATCGGTTGCCAAGCATCTGAATTTTGATCACGTGACCATTGGGGATGCTGCAACGGTCGTAAATGTGAAAAACAGTCCTAAGACATTTTTCGCAGAGACGTAACTTTGAATGGTCATTAAATGAACTGTTGTAAGTCGAGTACTACTTGCATATGATGTCTAGATGTTGGAAAACACCAAGAACAATGTTTCAAAAACATGGCAATTATGCTTTGTCTCAAACATATCTGATTGATATTAGATAGATAACCTTTACTGACATTTTTATTGGACTGTATTTGTGTGTCAGCTTAATTAAGTTAGTTGAAACCAAGCAGCGTCATTTGTGCGTTTTCTATTTGTTAAAATGTATTCTGATAATCTAGACTCTGAGGTTTACAGTGGTACCTCAGTACTCGTTGTTAATTGGCTCCGGGAGGTGCAATGAGTAAACAAAAATGATAAGTACCAAATTTTTCCAATCAGGAATAATGTAGTGAGTCATAAGACAGCCGACACTGACAAGTTTGGCTTGTTGAACACCAAACAAACAATGAGTATCACGACAATTTTTTTTATCAAAATCAATGAGTTTCAAAGCAGTTGAGTACCAAGGTACCATTGTATAGTTAATAGTTCAGTGTATTGTGCAAAGCTAGAATACTGTGTTAATTCAGGAACAGAATTAAGCACGTTGGACAATTCACTTGCCCAGAGGCTAGATGGGGGTGTGGTTTGCTTCCTGGTATATGGAGTTTTGTGGTAAGTGGTAGTCATTTTATGAAAATGCCAAGGGCATGTTCTCACAGTACTGGTTTCCAAAGTTTGCCTCCAGCTAGTTCAGGGGTCTTCAAACTTGGCCCTTTTATGACTTGTGGACTTCAACTCCCAGAATTCTTCAGCCAGCATGCCTGGCTGGCTGAGGAATTCTAGGAGTTGAAGTCCACAAGTCATAAAAGGGCCAAGTTTGAAGACCCCTGAGCCAGTTAAACAATATTCCCAATGGGATGTTTTGGTTTACAATTCCCAACACCACCAGCCAGCAGAAAAGCAGTGTTTTGCAACAGCTTGTGTCACCTTCAGGATTCTTGTCAGCCTAAAGATTAAAAAGACAAAATTCATTCAGGTTGGCCTGGCATATGATTTATTTAGACACCATCTTTTCTACCGAAGTTCAGGTGGCAAACACAGTGTTCACCCCTATGAGGATTAATCTTCCAGCCTCTGTTTGAAGACCTCTAGCAAAGAATTTGCTACTTCGTGTAGCATTCTGTTCCACTGGCTGATTTTTAAAGGAGCCCACATGAATGAATGAATGAATGAATGAATGAATGAATGAATGAATGAATGAATGAATGAATGAATGAATGAATGAATGAACGAACGAACGAACGAACGAACGAACGGATAAACACCTGCCTATTTGGTGCCTTGGCTGTCAACATTGCAGACCTTCACCTTGGAACTGCTTTTCTTCTCAGGACTGTGTGGTACGAGCTCCAGGCCAGGGAATGGCCCTTTCAGAGCCAGCCAGCGGAGGCCTTGATTTGGCAGATCGGAAGCGGTGAAGGAATGAAGCAAGTCCTGCAAGCCAGTAGCCTGGGGAAAGAAGTCGGGGTAAGTGGATGTGGGCTCTGCCCTCAACCTCATGGAGTCCCAGAGTGGGATCCAGGAATCTTGGAACCAGCTGCTGCCTGGGGCAACAGAAGGATGCGCTTCCCATTCACAAATTCGACCCTTATCTCATTTATCAGGTGGGACTTGAATTTCAGTTCTCAAACCTCCAGGAGCCTTTCCTTGGGCATCCAAATATGCCTCCTTTTTATTAATTTGGTTTACATTTCCCTTTTCATTGAGGAGCTCAAGGTGGCCCACCTTGTATCCTATCCTCTTTAAAATAATTAGCAATATACTTAATCATCAATCACTTAGCAACCAGTAGAAGTTACAACAGACCCCTCCCCCAGTGTATTTATGACAGCAGCTCCGGAGTTCCAACAATGGCATCCCCTACAGCAGTGATGGCGAACCTTTTGGAGAACGAGTGCCCAAACTGCAACCCAAAATCCACTTACGCATCGTCGGGTGCCGGGTGGGTGTGGCCAATTGGGTGGGCGTGGCCCATTGGGTGGGCATGGCTGCGGTGGTAACGGCAGACTGGGTGGGACTAAAAAGTTCAATCAATCAATTCCAACTTTGCAAGATCTTTTTTTCCCCGCAAGAAGTTGAAACTGACTGATTAATTGAACTTTTTTTTTTTTTTGCACATGGCGGCGGAGGCCTAAAGCGAAAAGGTTTTATAAAACCCAGCTGAAGGCCTAGGACTGGGGCGATGACACATGTGCCCACAGAGAAGGCTCTGCGTGCCGCCTCTGACACCCGTGCCAAAGGTTCGCCACCACTGCCCTACAGTCACGTGACTACATTTCAAGTGCTTGGCAACTGGCTCGCCTTTATGACCAGTTGCCATATTCTACAGTCATGTGATAACGATTAAGTTTGGGGGGTTTTTTTGTCAGAAAGGCTGGTTTCAGGCAAAAAAACCCTCATAGGAATGCATTGACTTGCTTAACAACTGCCATGTTCACTTAATCAGTGTGTTTGTTTTACGACTGCCATGTTCACTTAATGGCTGCTGCTGCAAAAAAAAAATCTAAATTCGGATCAGTCATGTGGGTGCCTCAATTTACAACCATCATGACTTACAACAAAAATTCCAGGCTCCGTTACAGTCGTAAGCCTAGGACCAGCTGTAGATTCTCCTTTTTCGTCCCATCCAGTTTTCCAGGACAGTGACATCCCCAGTCTGATTTTTGATTTCCTTTTCCCCTTGCGGGGGCTCATGTCAATTTACTATCCCCTGACAGATTATACAGGAGGTACAAGAAGAGATACCATATGCTTGATTCCTGTGCAATTGGGGGCCCTGTTTTCTGTATCCAATTAATGCCTGCATTGGTTGACGTGACTGAGCAGAAGTTCTGCAGCTACGTTCAGTCTATCAATCTCGAGGTTTTTAGCAAGTCACTTTACAATTCCTTCCAAGTCAGGCTGGTTAAAAGCAGCTCTTAGAAGTCGCCATCTTCAAACTGACACTTTGAACTACAACCCCCACTGCCACAAAGGATTGTAGATGTTGTAGAGCAGAGGTCCCCAACCTTTCGGGCACCAGGGACCAGTTCCGTGGAGGGAGTTTTTTCTGCGGACTGGAGAATGCATGGTTTTGTGTGCTGCCTGCATCCCACAGATGGGGCTTTGTTTGTTTGTGCGGACCAGTTGCTGGCATGCCGTGGCCCGGTACCGGTCCACGGACCGGGGGTTGGGGACCCCCTGTTGTAGAGCAATTTATTTGGGCAGCTTGCAGTTAACCCAGGCTTTAAAACAAAAAACAAAAAACAACCTTGTACAGTTTGGGCTCTTCGTATTGGAATGGCTTTCTTTTCCAAGGATGCTATGGATTAATTTTTTTAAAAAAAGATGATTGTCTTTTTTGTAGGAAATCCTCTCGGCATGTTGGGCTTTTGATGTAGCTGAGCGGCCCAAATTCACCCTCTTGATGGAAATGCTTGAAAAATTGCCAAAGCTTAACCGGAGGCTTTCTCATCCAGGGCACTTCTGGAAATCAGCTGAGTACGTATTGTCTCTCCATGTCTCACCCGTTTCCAAAAATTGCATTTTATTAGGCTTTTGATTGATGAACAAATGAGTCATGGTCCCAGGGTGGCAGGTTCGATAGACACCTCCATATTTATTACAACATACTAATAAGGAAGGCTTGTGTGTGTTTCCCAAATAAAGTGGCTATTTAATAAAGTGGGGCTTCTTTAAACAAATCATAATATCATCCAACTTTAAATCTGCCTCCTCTGTCTCTTCCCGCCAATCATTTTTTATTTCACTTTCATTTGTTGTCTGTGTGGGTGTGACTGCGCCAAGACAGAGTTTTCCAAGGAGTCTTGTGCCATTTAAAAAGTATTTTTTTTATACCTGAAGCTAGCTGGCTGAATGGCTGGCAGGTAGGCAGGAAGAAAGGGAGAGAGGGAGGGAGGGAGAAGGAGAGGAGGAACGACGTGGGAGAAGGGAAGGAAGGAAGGAAGGAAGGAAGGAAGGAAGGAAGGAAGGAAGGAAGGAAGGAAGGAAGGATATGGAAGAAGGAAGGAAGACTGGCTGGCTGGCTGGCTGGGGAATTCTGGGAGTTGAAGTCCACATATTGTAAAGTTGCCAAGATTGGGAAACACTGCCTATGTGCAGTGCACATAAAAAACAACCAGAGCTTCAACTGCCACGTTGACTTTTGAAACAACGCTGTGGACATCCCTGAAGCCTGGACAGAAGCCCTCCTAGCCAAAATGCAGGTAGCGGTATCTGTCTTACAGGTAGTCCTTGATGTACCATCATTTGTTTAGTAACTGTTCAAAGTTACAGTGGCACTGAAAAAAATGTGACAATCAGTCCTCACAGTTAACAATCGTTGCAGCAATCCCAAAGTCATGTGATCAAAATTCAGTCCCTTGGCAGCCGGCATGTACTTACAATGGTTGCAGCACCCCAAGGTCATGAGATCGTCATTTGCAACCTTCCCAGCCAGCTTCTGATGAGCAAAGTCCATTGGGGAAGCTGGATTCGCTGAATGCCTGCCTGATTCATTTAACGACTGCAGAATTTTGTCAGGGCAAAAACGGTTGTAAAATCGGGTGCCACTTAACCATAGAAATTCTGGTCCCAGAACTGTGATTGTAAGTTGAGAACTACCTGTCATCCCCTTTTCTCATACGGTGGCATCTGATGGAATGTGAGAAACATGCACCTCACCCACAAACACACCGAATGTCTTCCCTGCATCATTGAAACATTATTCTTGCTTCTGAGCTTCCCATCATTTCACATCAGAAAAGCCGTATCTGGGTTCACTTATTATACAGTGATACCTCAGTACTCGTCGTTTCTGGGAGTACATATAGTCAAGGCCATGGTTTCCCCAGTTGCAATGTATGGCTGTGAAAGTTGGACCATAAGAAAGGCTGAGCGCCAAAGAATTGAGGCCTTTGAACTCTGGTGCTGGAGAAGACTCCTGCGAGTCCCCTGGACTGCAAGGCGATCAAACCGGTCAGTCCTAGAGGAGATCAACCCTGACTGCTCTTTAGAAGGCCAGATCCTGAAGTTGAAACTCAAATACTTTGGCCACCTAATGAGAAGGAAGGACTCACTGGAGAAGAGCCTAATACTGGGAAAGATGGAGGGCAATAGAAGAAGGGGACGACAGAGAATGAGGTGGCTGGATGGAGTCCCTGAAGCAGGAGGCGTGAGCTTAAATGGACTCCAGAAGATGGTAGAGGACAGGAAGGCTTGGAGGAACGTTGTCCATGGGGTCGCGATGGGTCGGACACGACTTTGCAACTAACAACAACAACCCAAACAAACCACGTGATTTTATTATGTAATATTTTGTTTTGGCTGGGAAGAACTTTCTGTCTGTTAGTTTTTCTATGTCAGTAACCCTCCCAGCATGGCGGACTTCCTGTCTGCCCTCTGTGGCCGTCCCCCTCCTTTTGCAGTGACCTTCCTAGCATGGCGGACTTCGTTTTACAACCACAGTGATCCACTTAACGACCACAGCCAAAAAAGGTCACAAAATCAGTCACAGTCACATGGTGACCCACTTAATGACCGATATGTTTTATGACGGTAATTCTGGACTGAATTATGGTCATAAATCGAGGAGTACCTGTACTCTTTTTTTCAGGATTTCATAGGTCTTTTTTCCCCAAGAATTTTATTAACAGTTTAATAAATGTGTTAATTTCATGAGATAAAATGAAAATAAAGATAATAGGAAAGGAGGGAAAGGAAAAAAGGTGAAACAGGGCAAAGGGGTTAAAAAAAAAAAAAGCATTAACGTTCAGCTTTTTTCAGTGTAGTCAAGTACAAAACAGAATTTTGACCTTGGAGCTCTTTCTCGTCCAACCTCTGGCCCAGAGCAAAAAAATCTGACCCTTTGAGACCCACATTTCTGTGGAATCAGTTCAGTTAGGAAAATGAGCTCTGAATAGCTAAACACACAAATCTCTCTTTTTTTCTGTGTTTCTGACCTTTGAACCTTTTTGACTGTGAACTAACTCCCCCCCCCCTTTTGTGTGTCTTCCTTCTACTTTCTCTCTTACAGGTTGTAGCTCCTGGCGCAATGGCTGAATTTCTTCTTGCATGAGCACTTGTGACTAATCTACCCAGCAGCTCCAACCTTGTGCACACAAGCATGTGTGCACCTGCTTTCCGTTTTTAACCCTTGAGTGCCCCCGATGCTGCTAACGGTTCCTTCTTCCGTCCTGCCTCTTTTCTTGGTGTGGGCTGCTCATCTGAAGTAACCTGTCTGTTAAGAACTTTTGCCTCTCTGTTAACACTCAACTACATGAAATTTTCCCACTCCTGAAAGTGCAACACTCCCCCCCCTTGCTCCTCGAAGCAACTCACTTGTCAGGTTACCCACCCCCAGTGCTTTCTCTGTCACACTCTCTCTCTCTGCACTCCTACCACCAGCCTGATCTGCAAGATGTAAGCAAACACCAAATGCAAAAACCCTAACAGCACTGCGTGCTTGTCTTTTGTAGGCGACTTTTAAAATAAAGACACGTTGGACTCTAGTGTGCATTTGACTTCCAGCAAGAGAGACATTAAAAACCTGTGTCGATTCTTCCGTAACAGCTCCGGTGGGGCTAATTAGAAATGTATAAATTTTTATCCCACCCAGCCAGGGGATAAATTTTAAGACCAAGTCTTAAAAAAAATATATATCTGAACTGATGAGTGATTGTAACAAGTGCTGAGTTGGCTAATTTTTCATTGTGTCAAAAGTGGTAAATCTTTGCATGTTTCAAAGGTGATGGCATCACTTCCATTGTCTTTTAGAATACTGTATACTGTTCCTGTTTATCACTTTCATGTATATTCTGCCTTTCTATAAATGGAAGAAGCATTACTGCATGCATGAAAGAGAAAGGGTGGGGGGGGGGAGAGGATTTCTTTCTTTTCTTTTTTTAAGATTGTAGTTTGTACATTATTATTTGTATTAAAAGCAAGAACATTTTTAAATGGCTGTCCAGTTGAAATGGGAACAACAGTTTAATGGGGAATTTGAACATGAACTAATTTCCGGTGTAGTCCTGTTTATGTCTGTACTGTCCTTGCTGTTCTCTGAGCCTGGTTGCTGGTTTGCAGACATTTTATGACGTGACTAGGTAACGTCATCAGTGCTAGTGAGTGTGGGGTTTGTTTCCTTTTTATATAAAGCCGTGGTGGTGTAGTGGTTAGTTAGAATGTATTGCAGGCTAATTCTGCTGACTGGCAGCAGTTCGATTCTCACTGGATCAAGGTTGATTCAGCCTTCCATCTTTCCAAGGTCAGTAAAATGAGGACCCAGATTGTTGGGGTCAATAGGCTGACTCTGTAAAAGCGGTATATAAGTCTAAGTGCTATTACAATTTCTATTGCTATATACAATAGCTTGACCTACCAGTGCAGGTGGGGATGTGGTTTCTCCCTGGTAGTTCCTTGATTAGACTATTGTTTTTTGCTTGATTGTTTGTCTGGTACTTATCCCTGCTTATCTGGGTGTTAGTTGCTGGAGAGGATGTGTACTGTTGTTGTTTTTTTGTTTCCTTCTTAATATTTTTATTGTCTCTTTTGAATGGTGTGCAAATGTGGTTTATTTCTATGTGTCTATTGAGGGCTGAACAGGGAGCAAACCCCACACTCATTAGCACTGATGATGTTACCTAGTTGGGTCATGAAATGTCTATAAGCAAGCTCAGAGCGCACTGAGGAATCCGCAATTCAGTTCTGAGCTTCTGATGTATCCAAATCTATTTATGTCTGTTTTAAAGTAAGAGGGATACCATTGCAGCCTAAATGTTTCAACAGTTCCAGTTTCGCCCATGAGGTTTTTTTCTCCCTGGAAATCTTCTCATAGCAGAAAGCAGTGGAGAGATTGATGACGGCCCATTTAGCTAATCAGCTGCAGAAGGCGTTGAATTGATGATATGATGCCTTTTAGAGCATGGGAAATTCAGAGTCTTCCAGCTTTTCTTCCATAAAGGATCTCAAAAGGAAAGACCCCAGTCTGATAACTTAGTGGGTCCTTGGCCATCTAAATAGCCAGTGTACATTTTTTTCATAGATAATAGTGAGCAAAGCATCCAGCTAAATACAAAATCCATTTTTGTGCTCATATGTAAATGTAGCCCATAGATAACATCCATCACACAATTTCCTTTCATGATACTATTAGCCCTTGACTTACAACTGTAACGAAGCTCAGTATTTCCATCGTATGTCATGATGGATGTAAGTCATGGAACCCCACGTGACCAACCCAATTTTATAACATTTCCTCCCGTTATCATTAAGTGAATGTGACAGATGTAAAATGAACTCTGCAGCCATTAAGCAAATACTGCAGTCAGTAGGTGAAACCATTGTCCGCAATGGGTGTTTTTTTTTGCTGGAAGCCAGCAAAAAAGTTGTAAATTGTGGTCATGTGACTGCGGAACACTGGAAATGGTTGTCGATGTGGGCCATTTGCTGAACACCCAAAATAGAATCACACGACTGCTGGGTGGGGGATGGCCATCAGATGTTTGAATCTGGGTTATGTCCATCATAACCTAGAACGGGTAGGCAACCTTGGCTCTTTTATGACTCGTGGACTTCAACTCCCAGAATTCCTGAGCCAGCAGAATTCTGGGAGTTGAAGTCCACGAGTCATAAAAGAGCCAAGGTTGCCTACCCCTGACCTAGAATGATCACTAAGCAACTGCTCAGAAGTCAACTATTACCTCTAAACAATGTTATGTCAAGCACAGAAAAAGAAATAGCAAAGGAAATTAAAGGCAGAAAAGAAAAATAAATCTAATTAAGTCTCGTTGACACAGCACCATTGTTACACAGGTAGTCCTTGGCTTAACGACCACAATTGAGCCCCCAATTTTCGTTGCTAAGTGAAACAATTGTTAAGTGAATTTTGCCCCATCTAATGACCTTTTCTATAGGGGAATCACTGCAGTTCTTAAGTTAGTAACATGGCTGTTAAGTGAATCTGGCTTCCCCATTGACTTTGCTTGTCAGAAGGTCACAAAAGATAATCACATGACCCTTAGACATTGCAGTCCTCATAAGTATGAGTCAGTTGCCAAGCATCCAAATTTTGATCATGTGACTATGGGATACCACAACAGTCGTAACTGTGAAAAATGGTCATAAGTCACTTTTTTCAGTGTTGTTGTAACTTTGAACGGTCACTAAAAGAACTACTGTAAGTCGAGGACTATTTGTATTACCATCTTGTTAAATGTGTAATATTATGCTACATACCTGGGCCTCTACCCCTGAACCATGGGGCTAAATCCTGAATTGGGCAACAGAGCACATTATTTTTATGCTGACCGGCCTAGGTCACAATCCCAACATCTGCAGGTTGGCCTAGGAAAGTTTCTTGTCTGAAACCTGATTAGGTGGCTGCCAATCAGTGCAGGTAATATTTGGTTAGCTGGCCAATAATGAACATGCTCTGTTCAAAGTGGCCTCTATTAGAATCTCCTAAAAAGTTTTATCATGTCTGAACTACAGGAATCTAAAGAACTGCTAGAGGGCAACAAGGAGAAAGCCCTTTGCTGCCATCTAGTGGCCATTTGAGGTTTTGCAGCCTATACTATACTATACTATAATCATACTATACTATACTATAATCATACTAATCCAGCTATGGGCTATTTGGACTTCTTTGCTCTTCGGCTGTTGCTTTGTCAGTGCAGTTAGTCCTCAACTTATCACCAGTCACTTAGCAACTATACTGCAAATCCCCGTGACTGCATTTTGGACACTTGGCCATTGACCTGCATTTATGTACATTTCCAGTCTCCTGCAGTCACGTGTCCGCAAATTTTAACATTTTCCCCCCAAAATGGCATTGACTTCGTTTCTGGCAAAAACGCAGCAAAGAGACTTTGTGACCATGGTGATTGCTTAACAACCTCCACACAAAAAATGTAATAAAATTGCAGCATATTTTATGACTGTCACAATGTGTGATAGTAATTGGCAGGCTCAATTAAGGCCGTAAGTCAGGGGTCTTCAAACTTGGCCCTTTTGTGACTTGTGGACTTCAACTCCCAGAATTCCTCAGCCAGCATGCCTGGCTGAGGAATTCTGGGAGTTGAAGTCCACCAGTCATAAAAGGGCCAAGTTTGAAGACCCCTGCCATAAGTCGATGACTACCTGTAGTCAAGACCGAAAAGTGCCCCAAGACTCACAAATACTCTAGAGTGGCCCTTTTTGTAAGAGAGGGATGTGAATGGGGGTTTTCTTATCCTGAAAATTATTTTTTAATGAGAAAATGCTATGGGACAAAGTTGTTCAAAACATTTGAAGTGCATGCACATTTTCTATAGGAGAGCTGCAATGTCTTGCTTTCTGTGTTGGAAATTAGAACCTGTTTGTTCGTTGGCATTTCATTTTACTGTACAAATTAGCATGTAACTGTTTTAATTTCCATTCTCCTCCTTTTCCCTTCAGCCTTAACAGTAGCAAAATGGTTATCCGTTTTGAACGATTTGCCCTGGGAGATCTGGAATCCAGTAATCAAAAGATATAGCTTGCTGTGTTTTAATGGCCCTTGGCTCCTGTTTTTTCTCTCTCTGTGCCATTCACACGCCTGGGAAAAACCTGTCTGCAATCTTAAAACGGAAAATCCCAAAAATTACGGAAGGAGAAGATGGCGAGACCACCCGCCTCCCCCACACCGCCCTGGCAATATGGATGTTCGATGTGTTTGCTTAAGTCAGAGGCTTCCTTTTTCTGAAATGTTTACATTTGGATGACTTTTTTTCTGTGTGGATTAACGGTTAATAATAAACGTGATAAAAAGATGTCTTTTTTCAAAAAAAAAACAAAAAACACCAAGCATTTTCACTATCACTTTTCTTATTTCAAATTATTCGGGCACTATTTAAACTGTGTGATTACAGATCTGGGTTTTGTTGGTAAAGGAGCAAAAGAATTTTGCGTTGAGAGGGGACCCTTGGTCAGCTGAAAGACTGACAAAACAGGCCTTGAGGGAAGCATGGTGGTGTCTAAGCTAGGGGTGGGGAACAAGGACCCCTTTATGGTTTGTGGACTTCTTGGCTGGCTCAGGAATTCTGGGAGTTGAAGTCCACAAGTCATAAAGTGGCCATAGTTCCCCACCTCTGATCATTCTAAGATGTCTGCAGGGCACCGTTTCACCCCTCCAAAGAGCATTCCAGCTTGGGGAAGGCCTGGAAAATTAAGGGGCCCCTTTCTCCAACCCCCCCTGCCAAGGTGCAGTGTGAAAGTGTTATAATCCTACTGGGTAGACAGGACCTCTGAGCCTGTATATGCATCTCTCAAGCTGCCAAACTGAAAATGAGCCTGAAATAAAATACATGCCGTAAAGCTATCTTCCATGGTTGTGGCTGTACCTCTGAAAATTGCCATCTGAACTTTAATCCTGTGAAGAAGAAGAATTGTGTTGGATGCTGGTGACCACGGCACTCCTGTCATTTTCTTCGCCACAAACTGAAAGTGGTTTACTACCGATTTCCAGAATCCTTTTTAACCACTCAATCCCTTCCTTTGTGATCTCCCATTCTTGTTTCATTTCAGACTGTGTAAATCACCATTTGTGTGATGGGGTTTGGAAGCAGAGTTTCTCAAATACCAGAGGGCAGGAGTGGGGTGGGGGTTGAGGCAATTGTGTGTGTGCACACGTGTATAGTTCTTGCACTCTTCTACACAGCTGCCCCCCTCTCCTAAGTAACAACTACTTCACCTTAAAGCATGAATAGAGAAACCTGTATCCTCCAGATTCTGTATTGTTAGACTTTAGATCCCATCGTCCTGGCCTCTTGACAAGAGGGATAACAGTCTGATTAACCACATTTGGAGTAACATGCGCCAATCCTAACCTTATCCATGATCTAAACCTGTTTCTCCTGCCCCCTTGTGGAGGAATGTGGAAGCTCTGTTTATTCACAGCTGCCCTTTTTATGAACACAATAAATGTTAAGCAGGGTATATTATTAAGCTTTAGCTTATTCTATACCCAATTTTTAGGTTGTTGGTGCAATATTTTATTTTCTCTCTCTTTGTTTCTGAAGCGCTCTTTGGATTTATCATTCAGAAACATAGAATGGAAGTAATATAAGTGGTATAAACATGTTTCTATCTGTCTGATCAATGAAACATGGAGAGTAAAAATTGGAGTGGTGTTCTGGATACTGGGAAGTGGGTGATTCACAGGTGACATTATGGGCTCAGTCCACTTTTGACATTAAACAATTTTAAGATGTGTGGACTTCAACTCCCAGAAATCCCCAGCCAGCCATGGGAATTCTGGGAATTGAAGTCCACAAATCTTAAAAGCTGCCAAGGTAAGGGAATACTGACCTGAGGTTACAAGCCATCGCTGTCTGACTGTCTCTGACTGCCAGTTCCTTAGAAAAGTTACCTGCAAATTACAATTATTATTTTGAATATGCCAGGAAGGAAAATTACAGAATGCAGCAAGAGAAATCATACTAATTGTAATTATTATAATAAACACTTAATAAAGTTTAGGTTATGCTCTTGCTCAACTGAATTCCTGTGTCCTGGTTCACATGGCAGCCCAAACTAAATGTGGTCCCCAGCCTAAAATCTCTGCATTCAATGCAGGTTCCACTCTTATAAACCCCTTCTGTTTACACTGTTATATATCCAGAGACGCATCTGCCAGCAAGTAAGAGAAGGACTCACATTTTCCCCTCATCTAAGGTAATATTTCACAGGCACACACACACACACAAAACAAATCAAGAAACAAAACTGTGCTATTATCTGTTAATTATTCTTTTTATGCTGATTGTAAGAAAAAGAATTAGCTCTGTGACATTGTGAGGTCATGTCTTTCTGATTCTTTTTAAAGGGAAGCGTCTCTGTACATCAAGAGTCTCCCTAATCACCATTTAAACCCTGTACGTAAATTTTTAAGTCTGTAATATTGGAGAAAATTTACTTTTTTTTTCTAAATGTAAACTTTGTACAGTAAATACACATGCCTATATATAAATATATATAAATATATAAATATTTTCTATCAACTAAGTTTGTCTTCTGAAATGGCTATTAATTTAATTTAAAAATGGTTAGTATTAACAAAGAGTTCTGTATTTTTTTTTTCAACTGTTGAGAGGAAAAAAGTTTGAAAAAGAACATTCTATGCTAATGAAATTCTGAATATTTTAGAGTTTCTTTAAGTGAATAAAATTTTGCTCTGGATGAAACACCATGTGTGATGACATTTTTTCTTACAACAATAATGCTGACTTTCTGTGGCTTTGGAGTGTAACTAAAATATAACTTGGGTTAGAATAAGTATAGTTGGGAGTTGAGGATTCTATAGAAAACATCAGATGTTTTCAGCAATTCCTGAAAAGGAGCTGCTATCTTTTTTATCTTCTGCAAAAAATACTGTGTTAACTTTTTAGAGCTGGGGGGGGAATCCATGAGAGCTCATAGATGGCAAATTACATATTTTTTGTGATATCACAGGTGAAATAACACAACTTCTGTTCTCACAGCCAACCTCATGATACAAAAGATACAATCCCATCATTTTTGGAAGTTATCTTGATACACATATCACCACAAGACACCGCTGTAGGGATCTCTGGATATGAGCCGTGGTGGCACAGTGATTAGAATGCAATATTGCAGGCTTACTCTGCCCACTGCCAGGAGTTCGATCCTGACTGGCTCAAGGTTGACTCGGCCTTCCATCCTTCTGAGGTCGGTAAAATGAGGACCCAGATCGTTGGGGGCCAATGTGCTGACTCTGTAAACCGCTTAGAGCTGTAAAGCATTATGAAGCGGTATATAAGTCTAAATGCTATTGCTATTACTGAGTCCGTAAGGAGAAGGGCGGGATATAAATCAAATTAATAAATAAATATATCTACAAGTCTGAAGATAGAGATGGCCCAAGAGAGACTTTCTGCTTAAACTTCCAAACCCTTAAAAATAATCCTTTGGCAAATATTTCTGAATGAACCGAACAGCCGTATAATGAAACAGGAGGACTAAAATGTACCTTACGCTCAAGTAATTTGCCATGATCCTCTTTGTAGTTCCTGGGGCCCTTTCAAAGTGGGCAAGGCCAAAAATAATAGTCCTTTTATGTATGTTTATAAGTCTTACACATAAGATATCCATTTTTCGCCTTAAAACTTCAAAGTCTCCCCAAAGGGTCTGGCATCTACCTGGTATATGGACACTGAACTTATAGAAGTTAATGCATTCCTAAGCTATGAAGACAGAGCCTTCCAGGAATAGGGAACTAAGGAAGGAGGAAGAGAGAATTTTAAAAAAATCGGCAAGTTTGATATAGCTAAGGTTGAGAAACACTGACCTAGAGACTTGTGACAAATATAAGGCAAAGGATAGCCCGTGCCTGAAGGGCAGCATGGATAGTTTGCAATGACGTCACAACAGCAGCCTGCCTTCAACCTGAAATTATATAGGTAGTTCTTGATTTACATGCACAGCTCGGACCAGAATTTCTATTGTTAATTAAGGCAATTGTCTATGGCAGTGGTGGCAAACCTATGGCACGGGTGCCAGAGACGGCACTCAGAGCCCTCTCTGTGGGCACCCGCGTTGTCGCCCCAGCCCTAGGCCTTCAGCTGGGTTTTATAAAACCTTTTCGCTTTAGGCCTCCGCCGCCATGTGCAAAAAAAAAAAAGGTTCAATCAGTCAATTTCAACTTCTCGCGGGAAAAAAAAAGATCTTCCAAAGTTGGAATTGATTGATTGAACTTTTTAGTTCCACCCAGTCTGCCATTACCACCGCAACCATGCCCACCCAATGGGCCACGCCCACCCAATGGGCCATACCCACCCAATGGGCCACACCCACCTGGCACTCAACGATGTATAAGTGGGTTTTGGGTTGCAGTTTGGGCACTCAGTCTCTAAAAGGTTCGCCATCACTGGTCTATGGGGACTCTCAATCATCCAGGTCATGGTTACCCCAAAGGTGCTTTTCCAAAAGGCAACTGGACTTTCTTGGTTTGTTTCCTTGAAGACATTTCACTTCTCATCCATGAAGCTTCTTCAGTTCTGAAGAGCACCTTTGGGACAATCAAGGCAACTGTTAAGTGAGTCACACCCGATTTTACAACCTATTCTGCCAGGCTTGTTAAGCAAATCCCTGCAGTTGTTAAGTGAAACAGGCAATCAATGGGGCAAACCTGGCTTCCCCCATTAACTCTGCTTGTGGGAGGCTGGCTGGGAAGATCATCAAGGGTGATCACATGACCTCGGGATGCTGCAACTGGTTGCCAAGCACCCAAAACTATGGGGAAGTTGCGACAGTGATAAGTGTGAAGACCACTCATGAGTCACTTTTTTCAGTGCCATTGTAACTTTGAACGGTTGGTAATTGAATGTTTGTTTAGTTGAGGATTACCTGTGTAACACAACGGTCACCAACCTTTGCAGCTTGGGAAAATTGAGGTTTTTAGCTGAGACAGGTAGGCAATAGCCACCAGCCAACAATAGACGTTTAAAAAAAGTGGTCTCACTATTAGTATGCTGGGGGATACGGCTAGTATTTCAACTACGTTAGAATAGAAGTAATAGAAATAATAGAAATATAAATAACTGAAATAACCGAAATAACCGAAATAGAAATATAGAATGGAATGGAATGGAATGGAAT